CGCCGCCAGCGGTGCTCGCCAAGCCCAAATTATGGTCTTTGGCAGAGATCGCCACCTCCTCGGACAAGGTCAAGGACGGGGGCGGCGGGAGCGACGGCTCTCCGTGCCCACCGTGCCCCGGGCCTGTAGCCGGGCAAACCCTGGCAGGCAGCCGCGCGTCGCCGGCTCCGGCGCCGTCGCGCTCGCCCTCCGCGCAGTGTCCTTTTCCCGGCGGGACGGTGCTGTCCCGGCCTCTCTACTACACCGCGCCCTTCTATCCCGGCTACACGAACTATGGCTCCTTCGGACACCTTCACGGCCACCCGGGGCCCGGGCCAGGTCCCACAACCGGTCCGGGCTCTCATTTCAATGGATTAAACCAGACGGTGTTGAACCGTGCGGACGCTTTGGCTAAAGACCCGAAAATGTTGCGGAGCCAGTCTCAGCTAGACCTGTGCAAAGACTCTCCCTATGAATTGAAGAAAGGTATGTCCGACATTTAACGCGGGCTGCGTCGGTCCCGGACTTGCATAATTTATTAAAACCATGGCCTTGGCAGTTATTTTTCCATCACCAAGAGAAAGAGAGAGACAGACAGAGAAATAAACTACCCTTCTATTCAAAAGTTTATAGTTTATGGAGATGGATGACATAAAGATGTAAACATCTCCACATACAAAAAAAAATGTCTTAACCAACCGAAAAGAAAAAAATTAAAAAAGGATTTGTATTAAATCTTATTCTGTATATTTAATGTAGCATTTTTGTATTTAAATTGATAATTCAATATCTTTGAAGTAAATTATGAAATCAAGACACCTGTACAGGCATTTAATTTTTTTTGTAATATAAATATATACATTTGTGTTTTCCCCAAAACTGTTTCATAGTTTAAAAAATACCAAGTTTAATTTAATTTTTTTACACCTATTGATTTTTCTGGGTATGAGCTAAAGTATTATTTCGGAAAGGAAACAGGTTATACTCTTAGATTTAAAAAGTAAAAGAAACTGCAGCCGCCTTTGTAAAATGCAAAATATTTAATTAAAAGAGATTTTAACAGAATCAGAGCCACTCATTACTCTTTAGAAGCCTCAATAAACTGTCCATTGCCTTGGTCCAAAAGGTGCAAATGCAACTTTTTTTCCAAGTGGGAAATGAAAGGTTCCACAGCCCCTCAGAGCCCCATGGGGAAAGCCATAATTAGGCTCCCAGCCTGGGGGAACCCGGCCCTGCCCGGGCCATGCGGATTTGGATCACTGATGCGGGCTGCTCCGGGAAGATTGGACCCTGGAGGAAGGAGAAGAGACCCAAGTGTATGCCCAGAAGGGAGAAAAGATGGCAAAGCGAGCTAGAGACACGCAGCACCCGAGCGCCAGCGCTTAACCTAATTACTTCCAATCAGTGTCGTGTTTTATGCAAAGCAATCAGCTGGTGAACTTTGCTAATGAGTTCGATTTTATGCCGGATTTAGCCCTTATTACTATTTCAAAGGTGCTGCTGGCTAATGCGGGAGGGGAGCGTTAGGGGATACCAAGGGAAGGCTTTCCCAAGTCACTGTCTCCTCTACTCCTTCAATATGGGGCATTGATCTCTTCTTTGGATTTGATTAAATTAGTGAACGTTCCATCCGCGACCATTCGGGGGGCGGGGGGCCCTGTGGATGCCCAAGCAGCCTTGGGGCTGGGGTCTTGGGACCGGCGAGGGGGCCGTTCCCCCCTTTCACAGGTAGGTGTCACACTTGTCCTGAATTTCAAGCCTGCACTTTGCAGAGTTGGAGATCCGGTAGTGGGAGGAAGGGGGTGGGGGGCAGGGAAGGCCACAGCCATTTGAGGGGAAGCTAGGGGAGCCCCCGAAGGAATCCGGAGACCCTCCCCCAAGGGCCTCTTTTTGGACAAGTGGCTTTTAGAAGCTGGAGGTCCTATGCCTAGATAAGGAGGCCGTTGTGGACTCGATGAGGCTTGTCGTCGCTTTAGCACTTTTTCCCAGTTCAGATTCAAGAGTTTTGGCCCAGTAGCTACAGAAGTATTTTTGAGGTTTTATATTTTTTTTTCGTCTTAGTATCGCACATTTCATCTCAAAATGCGAACTCAGGATGCATCTCAAATCTAAATGAGGAAGAGACACCACCCAGCGTCGGAGGCCAGCCAACCCTCGCTGTTCCGGCTTGGCTGGGGTGCCCGAGTCTCCATTTTGCGCCTGACATGGAGCCGCCAACGTGTTTCACTCCGTGGGAAATTTTTGGTGGTGGGGGGAGACGGGGTGTGTTACAGCAAAAACATACCCCGGCGAGGGGAATTAATTTGCTCTATTAAACCCAAGTCTCAGTGTAGAGAGAGAATGTGTTTGCACATAACACCGGTTTAATTAGGCTAAATCAAAATGCACATATTTGCATTTCTACTCAGGATTGCTTTAACCCTACTCGGCTTTTTAAACACAAGCCAAAGTTGCACCGAAGTTGTTGCTTTTTTTTCCCCCCATTTTTCACCTGCAACGGGGCTTCTTTAGTTTATTCGAATTTAAACAAGTTTTGAAAGTAGCGATTGTACAGATGTTTTAGCGAAGAGTGGTCGAACTTGAAGGCTTCATTTAGTGAGAAAATTCACGCCGGGAAAATAATTTTAAAGCTAGAAGTGTGAATGATCAAATATGCATGAGACGATCCTATTTTATTTTGTCCCTTTAATTATAAATGATTTTTTAAACAATTGAATTCCAGAGATGACTAGCTCCTTCCCGACCACCGCCTCCAGCGCCTCATCCCTCCCTCCTTCCCTCCCCCCACCCTCTAGCCTGGCTCACAATCAGTTTTTCACCCCCTGTTGAATATGCAGCCCCAGGAGTCACCTTGTCTCCTAAAAAGTGGGAAGAATGGGCCCGTCTCCTTCCCTTAAGGGGGGAGTTTAAGGACGACTTCAACTCTGCGGGGTTTTGGAAGCAACGGCCCTAAACCCTGACCAAGGATTTTAGAAAGAAAATTACAGGCCTCCTTGTGCTCCTGGGTGTATGCAAATGATGCGGCCTCCAAAGTCAGACTGCGAACGCCCGCCGCCGGGCAGCCTGGGAACCCGCACCGCGCCCCCGGGAGCGCGCGGCCTTTCTCCCCACCGAGGGGCTGCACTTGGGGGCTGCACTTGGAGCCTGCCGGCCGCGCAGCAAAACTCCCCAGGGCTCGGCTGCTGGTGCCCAAGTCGCTGTCCTCTGCCCACATCCCTACCTCCCTTGACCTCTGCAGGGTCCATGGTCTTTCTCGGCCTGGTTGTCTGGAGTAAACGCCCTCACTTAAGTCCGGGGTGTCCTTTTCAGGGCAGGATTTCGATGGCCAGGGGCTTTTCTGATGTCTGTCTAGTGACTTTCCAGTTCGGAGATGGCCTGCCAGGTAGATGTAGGTTGCGGACGTTTAGGAAATCATGGCTACGTTTAATCCCAGAAGTAGTTGTCTGTCTGTCTGTAGGGCCCCAAGTCCTTCCCAGAATCTTGTCACCTCTCCGGTCGTTGAGGGAGGCACGGGCTGGGGATTGGGGACCTTCTTGCGTGTGCGGGGATCAGTGTTTGTTCGCAGGTTTGGATTGGGACGCTCAAGCTGCGACAAGCAGTGCCTAAGACACTTCGGTGCTGGGTTGCAGGGGCTGTAGCCACCTGCGCCTGGCTGGGCCGATTCCTGGTCCCAAGGAGAGCCTCATTTGGTATTTAGGGACTAGAAGGCACTGAATCAATCCCAAGCCACAAGGGTCGTGGGATCCCTGAGTGGAGTCTGGGTAGACAGTCCCCTGAGGCAGCGCCAAACCAGGAACGGGCTGGGTCCCTTTCCCTACCTCTTTGTACGGGGCCGATTTTCGGATCATGGGATTTGGGAGTGAGGGGACAGTAACTACAACTAATTCCCGAGGGGGCATACGCGGACCTTGGGAGGTTGCGAGTTGGGACTTTTCTCCTTCCTGCTCCCTGCTTCCTGGGGTACCCGGCCCCTAAATGTCTTTCCACCAGCTCGGGTGCGGGGCCTGCTGCGAGGCCTCCTAGTTTGTAAAGCTGTCGGGGCCAGTCATTCCCGAGACGTGCGCAGCTCTTGGGATCTGGAAGGTCGAGGCGAGAGAGGGTCGTGAATGCGGTTCCCGCGCAAGCCTTGTCTTTCAGCCCACCTGTCCCGGGCAAGTGGCTGCCAGATCCGGTGGAGGCACGCAACAGCGCATTGCAAAATGCCCAAAGTGAAAGGAATGTGACTGCACTCCTAAGGAGCCCGAAGCGGATGCAGTTTAGGAAGGGCGCCGCCTACTGGTCCCCCAGAGCCACCGGGCTCTCCGAGAGGGGGAGTTAAGAGAAACCCTGCTAAGCCCCCACCCACAGCAGGGCTTAAGCTCTGAACTCTGAGCTGGTCAAACTTAAGCTGTTCACCACCCCAGGTTGCCTCGGCTCTGGACCCCAGGACCCAGTTAGCATTGGGGATTTGTGGAACAGGGCCCATGACTAAAACAGCTTTAACCCTATGGATTCCCGCCATGGCTTCGCACTGTTTCAAAAACCTGGCATCAGAAAACTGAGAAATATGTGAGCTACCAGATAGCCCGCGGGTGGGGCCGCAGCTGCGCCGCCCAGGCTGTGCGCGACGTTCCCGCTCTGCGCCAGGTGCGCACGCGGGCACCTCTGTAGGCCCGTCCACGCGGGCGCTCAGGACGCAGCGCAGTCGGGTTCCATCTGCAGTTTGGGGAGCTCGGGTGTGGCTACCGCGCAACCGTTTTGCTCTTAAGAGCTTTTGCCCCTCGTGGGGTGGACGTTATAGAAAAAGGGAAAGCAAAGAAAACAAAAGCTACCCCGCCATCGCTTAGAGCCCTATTTCGAAAGCACCTTCAATGGCAGAGGTGCGACGCTTACCCCTGCGTCCGCCCACCCGGCCGGAAGTGCTAACGGGTGGTGTCGACTGGTCTCCCTCTGCTGCGGGGACACGTGGGTAAGCAGAGCGCACCGTCGGGCTGTCGCTTCCCATCCCTTGGGGCTGCACCGTCTGACAGAGAATTCGGGCCCAACTGAGACCTGGCCGTCCGTCTTTCCCTCAAACTAACCAAAGCTTTGGTGGGACTATCCCTGGACTCGCCCTGCAGGTCTCCCTTTGTGACCAGGCCAGACCCGGTCTCCTTTTCGTTTGGGGCGATAAATGTGACTTGGGTCCCGGGTACTAGGCGGGACCCGATGGCCTAACAGGAGAAGGCCTCGGGGAGAGGGCAGCCGTTCTTGGCTGGACCCCCTACGCTGGCCTGCCCCTCGGGTCCCCTGGGGGTCTCCCGCCTCCTGTCGGCTGAAGCTCCCAGCCCTTCGTCCCCCAAGGCCGCCCGCAGGGCAGCGCTCGTTTCCGGCGCCCGAACGAGCCCAGCGCGCCCAGACGCCACTTCCCAGTGAAATCTGCTTTTATTTGCTCCGAGCAAACCCCAGGCTCTCAGCGCTCCCGCCTGATGGATGCAAATGTAAATGTGCACTTATTTAATTGGATCAGGCCCCAAGATAAAAGAGATAAACGGCTCCCCGTTTGCTAACTTATTTTCCGAGGCATGCAGCGCCGCGTGGAGGGGAAGCTAATGAAGGAGCCGCGCGTCGCTCAGCGCTCCAGCTCTCCGCAGCGGTGGCGGGCTGGCCGGCCGACTCCGCGTGGGCTGCGACTCCTCCTGGACATCCTTGGCTCTGGCCCTGCACTCCGGGTGGGCTTCCCGCGGGACCTTGGCGCGGCCAGGCTGGGAAAAGGAGAAGGCACATACCCGCCCTCGCCACAGACGTCTCCACTGAGGCTCGGACCTCTCTCCTTCGTACCCAGCTCCCCAGGCTTGGGTCACACCGGGAAAGCCCACCTCCCCTCCCCGCAGGCGTCGTCCTTCCACCCCAGGAAGCGTTTTCAGTAAGAAAGACAAGAGGGCAAGGAGGGAAAACCTGGCGCCCCTCTCTGGCCACCATGGTCAGGTGGACCTGCCCTCCACACGGGCAGACCCCCTTCTCTGGGGAGTCTGGGGTGTGTTTCTGAGTTGGCTGAACTCCATGGATTAACCCCTCCTCCCCCCAATAATGCACGTACTTAATAC